ACAATTTACTTGAAAGTGGTATGAAAAATTTATGCACTCACTAACTGTAAGTCACTCTGGATAAGAGCATCTGCTAAATGACTAAAATGTAAATGTAAAATGAAAGGCAAGGCACTCTGGGAAATATTGGAATAATGCTTTGCACTAAGCAGTGTGTCAATTTTACACTGTTCCGGTGTGTATATCAGTGGAGGCTCCTCAGAGGAGGAAGGGAAGGACCATGCTCAGTGAATTTCATAAAAATAGAAATAGTGAAACATTAAAAAATATATCATTTTTCGATAAAACTATACTAAATATATTCACGTCACAATTGATTAAAACACACTGTTTTGCAATGAAGGTCTACAGTAGCCTCAACAGCACTCTCTGGGGTAGCACCATGGTGTAGCCAGAGGACAGATAGTTTCCGTCCTCCTCTAGGTACTTCAATGCAAAACCTAGGAGGCTCATGGTTCTCACCCTGTTCCATAGACTTACACAATAATTATGACGACTTCTGGAGGACGTCCTCCAACCTATCATAGCTCTTGTAGCATGAACTGACATGTTATCCACCCAATCAAAGGATCAGATAATTAATCTAGTGCTGAAAGCATAAGCTACAGCTAGCTAGCACTGCATTGCATAAAACGTGGTGAGTAGTTGACTCAAAGAGAGAGAAAGACAATTGTTGAACAGTTTTAAACTAATTAATTAATTCAAAAATGAGGGAGAAGCAAAAGAGAGAGAGAGAGAGAGAGAGAGAGAGAGTAAGAGAACTATCTATATTTTGTTGTATTTTTTTTCCAATTTCACTTTCACTTACTTAGCTAGTGAATGCAGCTAGCTAATTAAACCTACTCAAACACCCGGCTCAAACAGAGCGGGATGCTATGTTAGCTAGCTGGCTAAAGCTATCCAACAATGAAACTCTAGCAAGCCAAGGTAAGCTTTTGGTTTAATTAATTTATTGCCATCGGGGCACGCCGGTGTAACTGCTAAACTGCTTGCTGTACACTGTACTGCATGATTGTTGCAGGTTTACTAACGCTTTAGTTCTAGTAGCTATGTTGACTATGACGTTAGCTAATATAGTGACAATGATGTAGGCTGTGTGTAGCGGTTAGCAGATATGGTATGAAGGTTAGGCTTGGAATTTTTTTTTGTTGCCTGGTCACAGACAGCTGTTGTGTTGTGCATTGAAGACCACAAGTGAAGAGAAAAGGTGAGAGGAGGAGAACTCGTAGATCCAGGAAAGAATTATACAATGAGCAAAGTGTTCATGCTGTTTGGCTGCTATGAATGTGAACTGTGTGTGCAGCTGATCAGGGGTGTATTCATACCGCCGATTCTGTTGAAAAACATTTCTTAAACAGAAGCAAGCGGAATGAAACGGGGATAAACATACCTGAATTTGTCCAATAGAAACTTTCATTTGCAACTGTTTGGACGAATGATTACACCCTAGATCAGCTAGATGCAGGCAAGAGTGTGCAAGGCGGTATTGAATGTGTCACTGTCTGTCACCTTGATTGCTCACATTTTTCTCTCGACCTGTGCAAAAAAAAAATCCTCCCTAATCTTAAATGCCACCGACCACCACTGGTATATTTGGATCCACAGACTCCACACTTTCAGTGTTGATTTAACCCTCTCAGTGTTAACAGTTTAATATTTAACACTGGAGAATTTGCAATGCACGTGTTCATGCAAGTCATTTGTTTATTGGAGAAAAATGCTCACGTTAAATCCATCTATGATTATCAAGAAGCATAATTTGTTTCCCAAACTTCATATTACTTTCGCTTTGGTCTTCCAACAACATGTGGGAGGAAACAGTGCAATAGCCCTCTAACTGTGATGTGAAAAGGCTACAGTCCAGCCTGGTCTCATAGACTAGACGTAACATAGTAAATGTAAGTCCAGGACACTCAAATGAGTGTAATATGTTACGTTTGGTATGGTTACATAAGACAGAAGGTTACTTAAGGCAAAAACAAAAGGAGGGTGGTTGGTCGGGTGTATAATGCAAACGTCTAGCAACCCAAAGGTTGCGTGTTCAACTCTCATCAAGGTTGCGTGTTCAACTCTCATCAACTTTAGCATTTTAGCTATTTAGAAACTTTTGAACTACTTACTAATTTTTTGCATGTTAGCTAACCCTTCCCTTAACCTTAACCCTTTAACCTTACTCCTAACAACCCTAACCCCTAACCCTAACCATTAGCCTAACTAACATTAGCCAGCTAGCTAATGTTAGCATTAGCCACCTATCCACCTAGCTAACGTTAGCCAAAACAAATTGGAATTCGTAACATATCAGAAGTTTTGCAAATTCATAACATATTGTACATTTTGAAAATGTGTAACATATTGTACATTTTACAAATTGTAATTCGTAACAAATCATACGAAATAGAAGATGGACATCCACAAATGAATACATACCATACGTAACATATCATTCTAAAAGGAGCTCTTCGGATTTAAGTACAGAATAATATGAACTGTTCTGAGACCAGGTTGCATATTCAGTAGCCTATATCAGGTCGGATGCGCAATGATGCGACTCACATAATGTTTTAGAGATATCAAGTATGGTACTATGTGTGCATTTCATCAGATGCTTGCAGTCAAATAACCAATAATACTGCATGCCTCTGGTTGTTTTCTTGTGTTTTGTCCGGTCTGCATTCTCACCTGCAGCGAATCAGTTCCATGGTACGAATGGAATCAGACCAAGACCATCATTTTTGAGTGAACCAAGGTGCTCCTGAGTGCAGATGGTGTGCCTGCAACCTGGACTCAGCGGTAACATTCGGACACTCTATTTAGGGTAATATTTTAAGTTTGGTATGGTATGTATTCATTTGTGGATGTCCATCATCCATCTCGTATGATATATTATGAATTACAATTTGTTATGGCTAACGTTAGCTAGGTGGCTAATGTTAGCTAGTTGGCTAACGTTAGCTAGGCTAGAGGTTAGGGTTAAGGTTAGGAGTTAGGCTAAAGGGTTAAGATTAGGGTTAGGGGAAGGGTTAGCTAACATGCTAAGTAGTTGCAAAGTAGCTAAAATGTTGTAAGCGGTTTAAATTGCTAATTAGCTAAAATGCTAAAGTTGTCCATGATGAGATTCGAAAACGGAACTTTTGGGTTGCCTTAAGTAACCTGTCTTATGTACCCATACCAAACATAACATATCATACTACTTTGTGTGTCCTGGATTTTTGTTTACTCTGTTACGTCTAGTGTATGGCTTTTCATTTGTAGGCTACATAAACTCATGAAAATGCTATTGTGTTCTTTGAAATACATTTTCTTTCGTATTATATTACCTAAGACCTTAATAAACACAACCAAATTATAATTTTTGTGATAGCATATATGAAATGTATTTATTAGACTGTTAGAATGTTGAAGTTCAAAAGACTTGTCGTGAGGGTCTTTTGAACATTCTAACAGTCTAATACAGTCCCTCGAGGCCAGGCTTTTCTAGTGTTAATCACTGGCACGGAGGCAAATCAAAGTAGATCAGGTTTGCAATAGGTTACACGCTGCATATTAAACACCATCAAAGGAAATGTAAATTATAATAGGCCATACTATAGCCTATATAGACTAGAAGAGTGAAAATGCAAGACGAGTGCAATTCTCTGCTGGGCACGGGAGATCAAGTGCACCTACAATGTTTTGTGTGATATCAATTAAATGATCAATAGCCTATAAGGCCTAACTATAGGGCATGGGCGGAAAAGCACAGGGCAAAGTTATATTTCCAATTAAATTAACTTCCTAAAAATGATAGGCTAATTTACATTAACTGGAAATAAATCTTGTTTCATGCATTTGCATATTTTCATATATAATAAGAGAGGTCTGATTTTCTCCATGTGTAGGTCTACCCCTTATTATAAATAACGTAGAGTCCCTTATGTTTCAAAACTTGAGTCTCATGCTAGACTATATGATAACATTGGTAATAGGTCCGTTCTTATAGTCTATTACTTGCGAGGCACATCGGAGCATAAATTGAAATAACTTTTTTTTTCACTGGATTGATGGTCAGTCTCAGCGGAGGGAAATTACAATGCAATTTAACGCATAGAGCTCCTCTAAGGCAGGACATAACCACCCATTCAAAACGACTTGCTGATTAAAGGGACCTGTGTAGATTATATTTTCAACCAGAAGTTATAATTTTCACACTTTTACAGTGTTAGTTTCATCAGCTGTTGTACAAATATGACACAAAACACAGAAAAACTGCATTTTGACTGCACTAGGCCATTAAATGAAAAGGGGGTGGAGAAAGTCTGAAATTGTTGGTGCAGTCAACCTGTTTCAAACAGCAGATGTCAACCTCGTCCACCAGACAAACATTGTGGGTTTATACAAATCATTGGATCAGACAGAGCTACACTCACTCATCACTCTCTCATAGACAAAGCTGTGTTGGGCTGAGACTCCATGAGACTGACATTAGTTTTAAACGTGTTTGTTTACAAAAGATAACAGCAACAAAAGTAAAGAACTAGGGCTACAACTTCAGCCCATAGTTTGGGTTAGGTAAATGACCTTATCATTGAAATGATCATTGTACTTAAGCTGTTGGAAATATCCCAGAGAGTGCTTGTGTAGCTGGGAGGTTTTACAACTGGGTGTATTCTAATTCAGCATATCTCATATTCTGCGGTTCAAATGGATTCTCCCAAGTCTATGTTTTTACTTTTATCATGTATTCTGGCTGTTTTAGGTAAGAACGATTAACTCACTTATGTGATGTGTGGAGATACATACTATTGTGTCTGTGAATGTGACTAGTCTACTAGTTGGATGATGCTGCTTGTAAAATGTTTCAGAAATTATAAATGAAATTAAGCTATTTAATTTATTTTCTGCAATGTATGACTAGGATCAGCACCTACATTCTAAATATTGTATCTTGATTATTAAATGTAATTAGTTGAAATATTAATCTACTGTCAGTCTTCTTACCTAACCCTGTCTCCTCAGGGTTTTGTTATGGAGCAGGAGTGTTACCAGACGGCCACCTGAAAGGAGCATTAGGAAAAAGTGTGACATTTACTACAACCATTGATCCACCAGACCTGCCATTTGTAACAATAGCCTGGATTTTTAATGTGTCCACCACTATAATATCGACCAGGGCCCTACCTGGTAGTGACACTATAGGGTCTGGATACAAAGATAGGATCTTTCTGAACAGATCCACTGGATCTCTGGAGCTCAGGAATCTCTCCCAGAATGACACTGGAGAGTACAGACTGACCATTACACCAGCTGTGGGAGATTTACTAACTGGAGACACAACAGTGAAGGTGTATGGTGAGTACTTTCTGTTGTGTTGTTGCAGCTGCACCTCATAGCCTACAGTACTCTTACAGTCATATAGTCACAATGTTTAAGATGTTTTTTATTTATAGATTATTACATTTTCCTGTGAGACTGACAATAATTTGCACATTGGGTTTTGAAGGATATAGCTCGTCGATCCCTCCCCTCTGGTGGCAAATTTTAACTAATTGTAACCCTCTAGATATTACAGTGCCTTGAAAAAGTGTTCAAACCCCTTGGATACTTCACATTTTATTATGTTATAAAGTGTGATTAAAATGGATTTAATTGTAATTAAAAAAATACTTGAAATACTCTGTATTGTCAAAGTGGAAGAAAAGTGCAATTATTTTTAAAACTAAAATATAGTCGTTGCATTCAACCCCATCCATTCAGCCCCTTTGTTCAGGTAAGTCTTGTGGGGTATATATTGGTGTCCGAGCTATGTGCTAGTAGTTTAAACAGAAAACCCAGTGCATTCAGCATGTCAACACTTCTTACAAAAACAAGGAGTGATGAAGCCAATCTCTCTTCCACTTTGAGCCATGAGAGATTTACATGCATATTATTAATGGTAGCCCTCGGTGTACATTTAAGGGCCAGCTGTGCTGCCATGTTATGAGCCAATTGTAATTTTTATGGGAGTAAACTGAGGATTGATCAACAAAACAACGAAAATTCACTGTCCCAACACTTTTGGCACTCACTGTAGGCCTAGCTTGGATTTCGATTATTTGATTTTCAAAGAAGGTTGGTTTACCTAATGTCACACAACCACACTGTAGCAAACCACTAACACTATCCTTTCGGAAATGGTTAAACAAATATATACAGTACCAGTCGAAAGTTTGGACATACCTACTATTTCAAAGGTTGTTCTTTATTTTTACTATTTTCTACATTGTAGAACAATAGTGAAGACATCAAAACTATGACATAACACATATGAAATCATGTAGTAACCAAAAAAGTGTTAAACAAATCAAAATATATTTTATATTTGAGATTCTTCAAATAGCCACTCTTTGCATTGACGACAGCTTTGCACACTCTTGGCATTCTCTCAACCAGCTTCACCTGGAATGCTTTTCCAACAGTCTTGAAGGAGTTGTTGGCTGCTTTTCCTTCACTCTGCGGTCCAACTCATCCCAAACCATCTCAATTGGGTTGAGGTTGGGGGATTGTGGAGGCCAGGTCATCTGATGCAGCACTCCATCACTCTCCTTCTTGGTAAAATAGCCCTTACACATCCAAGAGGAGTGTTGGGTCATTGTCCTGTTGAAAAACAAATGATAGTCAAACTAAGCCAAAACCAGATGGGATGGCGTACCGCTGCAGAATGCTGTGGAAGCCATGCTGGTTAAGTGTGCCTTGAATTCTAAAAACATCACAGACAGTGTCACCAGCAAAGCACCCCCACACCATAACACCTCCTCCTCCATGCTTTACAGTGGGAAATACACATGTGGAGATCATCCGTTCACCCATACTGCATCTCACAAAGCCACGGCGGTTGGAACCAAAAATCTCCAATTTGGACTCCAGAACAAAGGACACATTTCCACCGGTCAAATGTCCATTGCTCGTGTTTCTTGGCCCAAGCAGGTCTCTTCTTCTTATTGGTGTCCTTTAATAGTGGTTTCTTTGCAGCGATTTTACCATGATGGCCTGATTCACATTGTCCCCTCTGAACAGTTGATGTTGAGATGTGTCTGTGACTTGAACTCTTTGAAGCATTTATTTGGGCTGCAATTTCTGAGGCTGGTAACTCTAATGAACTTATCCTCTGCAGCAGAGGTAACTCTGTGTCTTCCATTCCTGTGGCGGTCCTCATGAAAGTGTCACGCCCTGACTCAGGGGACTCTTATATGTTGAGTCAGGGTGTGAATGTTCTATGTTGTATTTTCTATGTTTGTGATCTAGTATGTATAGTTCTATGTTGGCCGGTGTGGTTCCCAATCAGAGGCAGCTGTCGCTCGTTGTCTCTGATTGGGGTCCATACTTAGGCAGCCTATTGGCACTGTAATAATAATAATAATAATATGCCATTTAGCAGACGCTTTTATCCAAAGCGACTTACAGTCACACGTGCATACATGTTTGTGTATGGGTGGTCCCGGGTATCGAACCCACTACCTTGGCGTTACAAGCGCTGTGCTCTACCAGCTGAGCTACAGAGGAACACAGCTGTCTAGTTGTGGGATCTTGTTCCTGGTAAGGTTAGTTGTGTGTCCACCTTAGGACTTCACGTTTCGTTTCCTTTCCTTTGTTGTTTTGTCGTGTGATTATAGTTCAATAAACATGTACGCATATCACGCTGTGCCTTGGTCTGACCCATCATTCAACGAATGTGACAGAAAACCAGTTTCATCATAGCGCTTGATGGTTTTTGCAACTGCACTTGAAGAAACTTTCAAAGTTCTTGACATTTTCCAGTTTCACTGACCTTCATATCTTAAAGTAATGATTGACTGTCGTTTCTCTTTGTTTATTTGAGCTGTTCGTGCCATAATATGGACTTGGTCTTTTACCAAATAGGGCTATCTTCTGTATACCCACCCTACCTTGTCACAACACAACTGATTGGCTCAAACGCATTAAGAAGGAAAGAAATTCCACAAATTAACTTTTAAGAAAAATGTCCAATCAATTGAATTTACCAGAAGTGGACTCATAACAAGTTTTAGAAACATCTCAAGGATGATTAATGGGAAAAGGATGCACCTGAGCTCAAGTGGTGTCGAGTGTCATAGCAAAGGGTCTGAATACTTTTATATAAATAAGGTATTTTTATTTTTGCTAAAATTTATAAAAACCTGTTTTCACTTTGTCATTATGGGGTATTGTGTGTAGATGAATGAGGAAAACATTTAATTTAAACCATTTTAGAATAAGGCTGTAACGTAACAAAATGTGGAAAAAGGGAATGGGTCTGAAGGGGTCTGAATCAACTGTGTATATATAGAGTACTAGTCAAAAGTTTTGACACACCTACTCATTCAAGGGTTTTCCTTTATTTTTCCTATTTTCTACATTGTAGAATAATACTGAAAACACCCAAACTATGAAATAACACATGTGGAATCATGTGGTAACCAAAAAAGAGTTAACAAATCAAAATATATTTTATATTTGAGATTCTTCAAAGTATCCACCCATTGCCTTGATGACAGCTTTGCACGCTCTTGGCATTCTCTCAACCAGCTTCACCTGGAATGCTTTTCCAACAGTCTTGAAGGAGTTCCCACATATGCTGAGCACTTATTGGCTGCTTTTCCTTCCCTCTGCGGTCCAACTCATCCCAAACCATCTCAAATTGGGTTGAGGTCGGGTGATTGTGGAGGCTAGGTCATCTGATGCAGCACTCCATCACTCTCCTTCTTGGTCAAATAGCCCCTATACAGCCTGGAGGTGTGTTGGGTCATTGTCCTGTTGAAAAACAAATGATAGTACCACTAAGAGCAAACCAGATAGGATGGCGTATCGCTGCAGAATGCTGTGGTAGCCATGCTGGTTAACTGTGCCTTGAATTCTAAATTAATCACTGACAGTGTCACCAGCAAAGCACCCCCACACAATCACACCTCCTCCTCCATGCTTCACGGTGGGAACCACACATGCAGAGATAATCCGTTCACCTACTCTGCGTCTCACAAAGACACGGAGGTTGGAACCAAAAATCTTAAATTTGGACTCATGAGACCAAAGGACAGATTTGCTCATGTTTCTTGGCCCAAGCAAGTCTCTTCTTCTTATTGGTGTCCTTTAGTTGTGGTTTCTTTGCAGAAATTCGACCATGTAGGCCTGATTCACGCATTCTCCTCTGAACAGTTGATGTTGAGATGTGTCTGTTACTTGAACTCTGTGAAGCATTGTTTGGGCTGCAATTTCTGAGGCTGGTAACTCTAATGAACTTATCCTCTGCAGCAGAGGTAACTCTGGGTCTTCCATTCCTGTGGAGGTCCTCATGAAAGCCAGTTTCATCATAGCGCTTGATGATTTTTGCAACTGCACTTGAAAAAACTCTCAAAGTTCTTGACATTTTCTGGATTGACTGACCTTCATGTCTTAAAGTAATGATGGGACTGTCATTTCTCTTTGCTTATTTGAGCTGTTCTTGCCATAATATGGACTTGGTATTTTACCTAATAGGGCTATCTTCTGTAAACTAACCCTACCTTGTCACAACACAACTGATTGGCTCAAACGCACTAAGAAGGAAAGAAATCCCACAAATTAACTCTTAAGAAGGCACACCTGTTAATTGAAATGCATTCCAGGTGACTACCTCATCAAGGCAAAGGGTGGCTGCTTTGAAGAATCTCAAATATAAAATATATTTTGATTTGTTTAACACTTTTTTGGTTACTACATTATTCCATATGTGTTATTTCATAGTTTGATGTCTTCATTATTATTCTACAATGTAGAAAATGGTAAAACAAATAAAGAAAAACCCTTGAAATAGTAGGTGTGTCCAAACTTTTGACTGGTACTGTATATAGTTTCAAAGATATCCCTAAGACATTTTACAGAAATCTATATTATACAATTGTAATTAATTGCTAGTAGTTAGTCTTTAATATGTTAGCCCCAAAATGGACCAAACCGAATATCCCCTTTTTAATGTACATTCTTAAGAATTCTCCTCTGCGTCATTTATAAAGTGCAAGCGTTTGAGAAGCACTGAGTACATGGTGCCTTTAACCTCAAACAAGGAAGATGATCAGGTTGTGATGCTCTACTTAGCTATCAAGATATTATGGCCCTATTCCTGCCCAATTGTTTAAGAAATTGATGAGATTGTTGCTATTTTCATCTTGGTTAATGTCAATCTAGTTTGCATGTTGCTGATTCTGATGTTCTCCATTCAGCTATTTTGATAGTTTGTGTATTAACAGTGAAGCTAATTGTGTGTAGCTTTGGGTGAAATAGTCTGCTATAAGTACAGCTTTGTTCTTATGTTTTTAACCCACAGAGTCAGTCTCCAATGTGGTGATAACTCCCAACAACACAGACTTAGTGGAGTTCAACAGCTCTGTCAGTCTGTCCTGCTCCTCCTCTGGCTCCTCCCCCTTCTCTTACCACTGGCTGAATGGCAGCTCAGATGTCACAGCCAGTGATGGAGTTCAGCTTGGTGATGGGAACAGCACTCTCACCATAACCAATGTGACTCGGTATAACCAGGGGCTGTTCATGTGCGTAGTGTCCAACCTCGTCAGCTTTGACAAAGAGACACTAATGCTTTACATCAGCTGTGAGTGTCTAACTCTTAAATTATTTGCATGTTGATTGAGCCACTTAGGTAAACTTTGATAGTTAACTTTCATGTAGTTTGTGTAGTCACCACTTGACATAGTTCCCCGGAAACAGCATCTACTTAAAAATAACAAGGCTTGATGAATATGGTACTTTTGGTTAAAGGATTGGTTCACTATGTATTTACCAAATCTCTATTTTTTATCACTCTCACCCGCAATAGGCTTCCTCATTGCTCATTTTGTAGTATGGGTGCTACAGAAAAACATGAACATAGGCTCCAAAAACACCCAAAGACATCATTTTAGAAACAGCACTGCTCTCAGTATAGTGATGCAGGTCTTTAGATGTTGTACACACAAATTGTGTAATTTTGAACTTTATCCGCAACATTATTGTAACATAGACGCAGGGAGTCAGGAAGCAGGTGCAGTTAGTTGATAACAAAATAGTGTTATATAAAGGGTAGGTAATCAAGGGAGTAATGAAGTCCAGGTGTGATTGATGATGATGAGATGCAGGTGTGCGTAATGATGTTTGCCAGGTGTGTGTAAAGATGGGTTGCCAGGACCATTGGTTAGTAGACCGGTGACATCGAGCGCCGGAGCTGGGGAGCGGGAGTGGACGTGACAGTGGGACTGGACGTGACAGTTATATTCCATTTGGTGCAACTCGAGTGGTTTCCCCTAACCAGCTGTGCTGCGCAGGCTACATGGACAAGCAACACAGCTGGTAGGGGGAAATAGCTTGAGTCGCACAAAGTAGAATATAACGTTACGGATAAAGTTAGAAATTACACAATTTCATGTGTACAACACCCTTCTTTAGCATGCAATTTACATCAAAAATAGAGATTTGTTTAAAAATATTGAACCAATCCTTTAAGGCCATGAAGATGTTTTCCTTGCTTCATATACTGTATCATTAACACATCATGCTTTAAAAAGATGTTCCCATTCTGTGGCATGTCTCAATGGTCTTCATGGGTCATTTTAAAATGTTTTGTCCCTAAGCTGTCATCACTATTGTGCGTGCTGGGTGACTGATTGTGTGGTTGGTGGTGATGGGATACTGAAGCTAGATACACACTATTGATAACATGGACCCATAATAATAATAAATGGTCCAATGGGTCATTAACATGGTCTAGAAAGTATCTGTTGGTCAACTTCCCCTCTTTAATGGTGGCATTTTTACATGGACCATTCATTACAGATGGTCCAGAAAACACAAGAATGAAGGTGACCCCTCCAGATGTACTGTATGGATCGGGGTCAAACCTCACTCTGTCCTGCTCCTCTGAGTCCTCCTGCCCAGTTTCAGTGGGCTCTGAATGGAACGCTGCTGTCCAATAAGGGACCAGAACTCAGGCTGGAGAACATCCAGGCCAGTCAGAGCGGTAGCTACAGCTGCTGGGCCCATAATACCAGAACCCTGAGGTACCAGACACCTGAGCCCTCTGACATCACTGTGCTACGTAAGTGGTAGAGAGGAGAAGGAGACAGTCATGGGAGGAAAGGGAAACTGGTTCTGGGGTGTCATGGCGGAACTGACTGAAATGCTTGAGGTTTGTGCTCAAGTCCTATCCAAGGTGTTTGAGTACACCTTTTCCTTTTCCTTCCATTTTGTAAAAGCGTTTGGACGGGACACCTTCTTCTGTATGTAGCAGAGAAGGCCCTTTCAACAGAGATGGTGTGTTTAACACATGAGAAGAGAGCTCTGAGTGGCACATTTGACAAAGCAGATAGCATTGGATTATTAGTTGATACTGTAGTGTATACCGTATGTCACAGGAGGCTGCTGAGGGGAGGAAGGCTAATAATAATGATTGGAACGGAGCGAATGGAAGGGCATCAAACACCTGGAAACCATGTGTTTGATGTATTTGATACCATTCCACTTTTTCTGCTCCAGCCATTATCCCAAGCCTGTACTACTGTCACGATCGTCTAGGAGTGAAGGAGACCAAAGCGCAGCGCGTTGAACGAACATGACTTTAATAAGAGTAAAGCACGTAAAATACAAAACAAAAGACGACTCGTGAAGTCCACAGTACAACGACTGAAACACGGAACAATAACCCACAAACCCCACAGGAAAACATACAGAAATAAATATGGCTCCCAATCAGAGATAACGAGCCGACAGCTGACACTCGTTACCTCCGATTGGGAGTCATTGACCAAACCTAGAAATACAACACTTTGACACCCAACATAGAACAAAACCACATAGACTGCACACACCCTGGCTCAACATAATGAGTCCCAGAACCAGGGTGTGACAACTACCCAATTAAGCTGCCACCAACCTCCTGTGCTGTACACCCAAGCCACCCAACATGATTACCTCTAACCTTAATTTTTTTTAAATAACTGTTTGACAATATATTACATAATGGGTTGTTTGGATCCAGGATGCTGATTGGTTGATATACCATTACGTGTTAATCTTATAATTCCACTGTCCCCCCGCCCAGGAAGGAAATTGATAAACTTCATCTGCCTTTTGAAAAAAGCATCTACACATTATTTTTCATGCTACTATTTGGTTTGCAACAGTTGGGGGTTGTACAAACATACCTGCCTGCCTCTACGACCTGTGCAACAATGTATCGTTTTACAAATGCTGTATCTCCAGTGGCAGTGGGGTAGCTAGAATGAATGTGAAACGAATAATTCACCATGGAAACTGTAAACAATCAGAATTCCATGAATCCATTAACCAGCACAGGGCGGCCTATGTAGGCCTATTGGATTTTTATTAAATCAAGTAGCAGTGCGTGGGTAAAATCACTGGGGTAGCCAAGCCAGAAAAAAATGCCATATTACAACCTATGTGTTGTGATAAGTTCATATGCCTTGCCACCGTGATATATAGGCCTAAGGCTGAGACAATAAGAAGACACACTGGCAGAATATATTCAACCTCACATTTGTTTAATTACAAAACCGGAGAGCAACCTCTGTCCGGTGAAGTCCACAAAGCATATTGCATGTAACCAACAGTTACATGACCTACAGCATGGTCAAGCAAGTTAATGTTTCCACCATTATCGGACTACTAAACAACTATTGATTTAGAACAGAGAGTTACCGAGTCCCAAAGAAAACAGGAGCTGCCTCCACTATTCAGCACCAACTTCAACATTTCAACATCATCAAATCACCTATGTTTAGTCTAATACAGTGACAACTAAAATATACCAAAGACAATTTATTCCAATCAACATAAGCTAAATATGATGTGGCTGTCAATGGTTCTATGTGTGTGTGCATGTGTGCATGCAAGTAGAAAAAACATGTTGACTCACCCTACTTATAGAGCAACGCCAATGCCATCCTCCTCTCTTTCATGTTGACGAAACGTTCTATGACACTGTCTTACAGTACACACTTTAATTTTTTGTTGTCCTAGGCTACCTAGCTAAAATGCTTGCTCGCTAGCCTAACTTCCTTTCATGGGCAACTTTAGCTAGTTAACAATAGCCTTCTACATCTACTATAGCTACATATTCCATCCTCTCAGTCCAGGGGCACAATGTATGAATTGGCCAGTACAGAGAATTAAGTAAAACCGACAAGTCCAGATGCAATAATTCAAGTTTTTCTGTTATTATGAGAAATAACAGAGAAATTATGTATTTCTCTCGATGCGATGTGAAAGGAGTGAAGCCAAATCTAAACTGGCTTCCCTTGACACTTTTTTTTGGTGCGCCAGGACCATTCTCAGTTGAGCTCACTCAGATAAGCTCAACGCTGATTGGCTATTATTTTATACTTTTTTATCAAGGGAGGCTATGAATGGCAAACTGGCAAATCGTCAATACAGAACTAAGACTGAATCCTACTACACCGGCTCTGACGCTCGTTGGATGTGGCAGGGCTTGCAATCTACAGTGCCTTCGGAAAGTATTCAGACCCCTTGACTTTTTCCACATTTTGTTAGCTTACAGCCTTATTCTAAAATTTATAAAAATTGTTTTTGTCCCTCAACAATCTACACACAATACCCTAGAATGACAAAGCAAAAACAGGTTTTTAGAGATTATAGCAAAAAAACATTTACATAAGTATTCAGACCCTTCACTCAGTACTTTGTTGAAGCATCTTTGACAGTGATTACAGCATCGAGTCTTCTTGGGTATGATACTACAAGCTTGGCACACCTGTATTTGGAGAGCTTCTCCCATTCTTCTCTGCAGATCCTCTCAAGCTCTTTCAGGTTGGAGGGGGAGCGTAGCTGCACAGCTATTTTCAGGTCTCTCCAGAGATGTTAGATCGGGTTCAAGTCTGGGCTCTGACTTGGCCACTCAAAGACTTGTCCCGAAGCCACTCCTGCATTGTCTTGGCTGTGTGCTTAGGGTTGTTGTCCTGTTGCAAGGTGAATCTTCACCCCAGTCTGAGGTCCTGAGCACTCTGGAGCAGGTTTTCATCAAGGATCTCTCTGCACTTTGCTCTGTTCATCTTTCCCTCCATCCTGACTAGCCTCCCAGTCCCTGCCGTTGAAAAACATCCCTACAGCATGAAGCTGCAACCACCATGCTTCACAGTAGGCATGGTGCCAGGTTTCCTCCAGATGTGACGCTTGGCATTCAGGCCAAACAGTTCATTCTTAGTTTCATCAGACCGGACAATCTTGTTTCTCATGATCTGAGAGTCTTTAGGTGCCTTTTGGCAAACTCCAAGCGGGATTTCATCTGCCTTTTACTGAGCAGTGGCTTCCATCTGGCCAATCTACCATAAACGCCTGATTGGTAGAGAACTGCAGAGATGGTTGTCCTTCTGGAAGTTTCTTCCATCTCCACAGAATATCTCTAGAGCTCTTTCAGAATGACCATCAGGTTCTTGGATACCTCCCAGACCAAGGCCAGCTTTAGGAAGAGTCTTGGTGGTTCGAATAATATTAATATTAATATAATATTAATATTAAGTTCTGCAGAATTAAGTGTTCCTCGCAGTAAGATTAAGATGAAAACATCATGACTGGTTGTGTTTATATATCATATACATTATAATCTAGACTACAATCTGTATTATCAAACCAACCTATCTGATTCATAATATAACCATTATCCTTCACAGAACCAATATCTGGTGCTACCATAACAACTTCCCCAAACATCTGAGGTTCATAAACTGTCAGTAAAAGGTGAAGTTACTTGAAGCTTTAAAGACAATAATTTACATAATAAATATATAGTTAAAGTTCTACTTATGAAGTTTTGCATTTCAAAGTTGTTTTCAACTAGTGTCTTTACATTTACATTTTAATCATTTAGCAGATGTCACCCATTTTCATTGTATTGTGTAGTTCTGCTTGTTGTCTGTAGCCTTTCTCTCGTCTCTACATGATTCTCTCTCTGGTCTCTTCAGTGGAGGGCTCTTTATCACCAGATGGACTGTCTTCTGGTGCCATCGCTGGGATTGTGTTTGGAGGATTTGCTGGTTGTGTGAGTGGCAGTTGGTGTTTCAGTCTTCTTCATCAGGAAAAACGGGTGAGTTAAGAAACTTCCCTGCAGTTAGTAGAACATTTAGGCTCACTGTTCACATTGAACAAAACTGGTCACAAATATGACCTGTATGTATTTCAAAAGCACTGTAAACTGTTAAACGCATTGTAATATTATGTTCTTATAACTTTTTACTGTAAACTGTTAAACGCACTGTAATATTATGTTCTTTTAATTTTCTAAACAGTAACCTTTCATTGTTTATTTCTTGTTGCATTCAGAACCAATGCTGACCCAGTCCATCAAGGAGGTAACCGCATACTGTACTGTATATTAAATCTTACAGGCATATCTAACTACATAGCCGTGGGAAGTAGGGGTGCTGAGGGTGCTGCATCACCCCCTGAAAAATCAGAATAAATACAAAAAAATATGATATATTTTTTAATCACAAAAGTATTCCACTGGCCCTTTACTAGTATTAGCGGACCAATATAGATGTCGGTAGCGCCTGCAAAAATTTTTTTCAGCATCTCTGCTTTGGCAGAAAAGGTAGTTTTATAATTAAGAACAGTATCTTGCAGGATTAAATAGTTGGAATTGTAAGAGTTGTTGCCCTGTCCCTTTCTCTGTGATTGTCATTCTAATGGAATACAGAAAGAACAAAATCCTGTCCTCAAACATTTACATCAAAAGGTGCATCAAAAGGTGCAAAGTAATGGGTAAAGACACCAAACATCCACATCAAATTAAATATTCTTCTTGATCAAATAACATGGAAAACAACCACTTTTTGTGAAGTATTAATTTACCATGCTTACGAACCACTTAATGTAAATGTACATTACTGTATTGTACATAGCCTGGTCATCGAAGTTTGTACGTGTAGACTTTCCATCACCATGAAGAAAAACAATGCACAGTAATTGAGTACATTGAGACATTTACATTTACATTTACGTCATTTAGCAGACGCTCTTATCCAGAGCGACTTACAAATTGGTGCATTCACCTTATGATAGCCAGTGGGACA